TGGCTCTTCAGCTTTGAAACAGAGATGACCACTGCCCACTAGAGTCAGGAACAACTAGCACATATGTGTGAGGGGAACCTTTACCTAGTGTGTCATATAATTTAACATTAAAGGCACACAAAATTAACAAAATTACATTTTCAGATACAATCCATAAAATTAATGTTTAATAGTAGCACAATCCCCTTGACTTCTCTATCGAAGTATTTCTAGCTTCATTAGACTATGTTCAAGTGAAACTAGAAATTTAATTTCTGTTAAATGTCAGTTATCTGAAAGAAAAAAAGAAAATTTACAACACCAATTTCAATTTACCTTAATTGTGAAGATAAGGATGCGACCCTTGGCCACCATGTTGAGGAACAGAACCATGGCTTCATCTTCATGGGGAGAATAGGTGTCAAAAACCCTCTTGGCCATCACATGGCCCTACAAAACAATCCAAAATTGTGTTAGATCACTTCTTCTCAAATCATGTTGGGACAAATATGTTGTGGCCGCAACTCTAGCTTGGAACTGCAGTTGAGACATTGTAGAGTAGATTTTGTTTAAATATAAGGACAAACTTCCTGATTTGTACGACAATGTAGTCTACCTACAGAGGTTGTGGATTTTCTATTTTTAAGAAGAGACTGAGCAGCCACTGTCATGGATGGTTTAATTGGCTTTCCTGCTAATTGCAAAGGTTAGGACTAGATGATCCTTAAGGCCCCTTCCAACTCTTTAAAATTCTATGTCTGCAACAGAAGAAATATTTTAAAAACATCTGGCAGTTTTTTCCAGATTAATCCAATTGAGGAATATCTCTGCCCTCTCCTCCGCATTACAACATTGTATACTAGCATGTATTACCCCAGTAATTTTCTTAAAGAAAAGTGATAGGAACATCTATCACGTTTAGGCAGCTGTGGAGAGCTTAATGCCAGGAAAGATCACTGGCTATAAAAGCAAGCCTTCCCAGCCATGCATGTTACAGACTTCTGGAGAAAGGAGAGAGGAAGTTGGCATTTAGAAATTCCTCCCCCAGTAAAGGAGCTTACTGGAAATACAGAATGGTAAGCATCTATTAACTTTTTTGCCAGTTGGGGAGCTCACTGAATCCTGTGTAATTCAGGGAGGATAGCAAATAGGTAGTCCTTGACTTGTGACCATAATTGAGCTTGCCTCTTCTAGTCTTACATCATGCCAGTTGTTAAGTGGGCCACCATTTGACATCTGATTTTTTGCAGTGGTCGTTAAATGAACCGTCATTCTAAATCACGATCATATGAACGCAGGACACTTTAAAAAGCCATAAATGCAGGGCAATTGTTGAGTGTCAAAAATGTGGTGAAACCTCCCCCCACCCCGGCCATTGGAATCCAAGTCATGGTACCATTTTTTTTTGGGGGGGGGGGATCGTTGTAACTTCAAATGGTTTCTAAGCAACTGTTTCTAAAGCCAGAGATTACCTTTATTACCTAGACTTCCTTTTACACTGAGCTTTAGTACTGGACAATACAGGCCTGGCATAGTGCTAGAGGTCTAGAACCTTGCTAAAACCTTCAGTGGAGTTTAAAATGCTTTTCTAAAACTCTGACCAGAACTTTGACCAAAAATTCTACTCCAAGGTACAGCTGTTTTGGATTTCAGTGATGGTTGAAGAATAGTTTGGTGGAAATGTAAGAAATTCCACATAGCCTTCACTTTTTTCTCAGAAAAAGGAGCATATTGACCTCATTTAGGTCAGATTTATGTTCTTCATCACTTACTGTGGCCTGATTTAACACAATGACATGGATGCCTCTGCCTTGTTCCCGGGCTTCATCTTCTAAAACCTGTACAGTAACAAAAGCAATTGTTATCAAACTATCCTTTTCACACCTGTTACCCCTTATCATCCTCGGCTGTTTCTTATACATCATTTTCTTCCAAAAATTACAAAACTTTGTTTTGTAACCCCAAATCCCGCTGAATTAGCTTTTGCAAAGTAAGCATGTTGGAAAGAATTATACTCAGCTTTTATATTAAGAACTTGGAAGATGAGATATAAAAGCAATATCAGATGAAAGCAACTCATCAAATTGTTCTATGATATGTATTTGTATATATGTGTATGCAGACACATAGGGAAAACACACCACAACCTTCCTGCATTCCTTACAAAAACACTACTCTTGTACATTGCTTTAAGAACAGAAACTGTGCTCTTTCTATTAATAAACAGACTGTTTTTTTTTTTTAAAAATGCTATGTTCCTCTATCGTGAATACATTCATTTAGAAATGCTATTAAAAATTAAAGGTCACCCAAAGGCACAAAATGGATATTATATATTTAAATTTACTAAATATACTTGCTGGCCTAATAGGTACACAATTAAACTGATAGCTGGAATACACACACACACACACACACACACACACACACACACAGACAGACAGATAGAGTCAAATAATGCAGGAAGAGATTGTCCAATTCAAGAAGCACTCCTTCATAGTAAACCATGTGAGAATTTATTATTGCCCTGATTCTTGCATCTTACAGCTGCAGTGCGGATTCTCACCGTGGTCCCATCAACTGCAACATAAACCTTGGAGCGACTGGAATAGGCCTCAATGTCCAGAACTTTTCTGCTATTGATAGGCTGCCGAGGGATCTCTAGCTTCTGCAAACTTTCATCTAGAAATGAGAGAGCACCATATTTTAGATTCTTTTGGACATACTTTTAATGCTTTTATCCTATAGTAATCTCTCCATAAATTATGAACATTCTGAAAGGCCTCTGAAAGGCCTTCTGTATACAGATTGTCCTCATTTAGCAACTACTTCCAACAGCGACCATTCACTGTTATGACAGTAATGAAAAAATAACTTTGTGATAACTTCTCACATTTACAACCTTCTCAGATTTATAAAACAAAGGAAAGCTGAAATAAATTTGTAAGCATGGTTAGGATATCACTTAGTGACTGTTTTGCTTAACAACCAAATTGCCAGTCCCCAAATGTGATTGCCAAATGAGGACTAGCTGTATAGGTAAGGTGAGGTTGATTCGTGAAAGCACAGATAGAACATTTGACGTGGAAGCATGTAGAATTATTTCCTAAAGAACATCATGTTATCTATATAAAAAGCAAACTAACATTTTCCTTCCATTTAGTTTTTAACAGCCTGCAGCATAAGATTAAAGACTTCAACTGAGTGTTACTTGATTTTAAAATTCTAGTTGTAATGGTTGCTTAGTTAAACTACTTTTAGTTTTAGATTAGTCAGTTTGTAAATACAAGAAATCCAATCTTCTGGTTCTGCTCCCCATGGACACTTAAATCAATTTTTCCACGGGCATATTTTTTGACAGAAGTCAGAATATAACCATGGCCTACTTGCTTAATTTTACCTGAAAATGTTTAAGTTCTGTAAGAAAGCACAATATATTTCCTTAAGAAATAGTGTCTTTCTCTCTCTAAACTATCAAAAACTATTTTGTGAGCAAACTATCAAAACTTTAGACTATATTTAATGCTCCTATAATTAGGAACATGGGATGGGATTCACCAGTAAGCAATGTTGCATGGTAAATTCTATTCTCCAATCATAGAACAGCCCACATTCCCTTTCTCCCAGAACATGCCTACTAATCACACAGTACATTCTAATACCACCATTTAATCACATTTACTGCTCACCATAATCATGAGCTGAATCGTCTTCTTCATTGGCTGCCCTTCTAGTGTCCAAGATCAACTTTATGTTCACAATAACAGTTACCAGCAAGAAAAGGACCGCTCCCATCTGTAAGACAAAAGTCTCCTTTATTAGATTAGGAAAAAAATAGATTTGGAAAACCTGATGCTTAAAATACCTACGTGATGAAAACACAGATTTTTATGCTATACAGGAAGGACATAGCACTGGAAAAGTGAATGAGTTTTGGGGACTTCTTTGTTGAACTTTCCCATTGTTCTTTAGGGATTAAATTTAGTTCCTGCTTCCATTTACCTCTATTTTCTTCTTTTAAAAAATGTCTCATTTTGTGTATTGGCAGCTTTTCTATCATTGTGTACCATGTACTTCCTTTATCATGTATAAGGATGAAATAGAGGAAAATATTGAGCTTCCTGCCGGTTATATCACATTTCTACAGTAAGTAGCCAGCTGTTTATTCCTTAAAACCGAATGCTGACTTTTGGTGAAGGAAATAAATTTTTGCATTAAGTGTCATAGGATATAAATATGGAATGTTTTCTGTCATTTATTAATGGAAATAAATAATTGGCACACAGCTCTTTAAGTGGACGGCATTCACGAACCTTAATAATAGTTGTGACAATAGCAGGTCATGTCATATATTCATGTGTGTTTAATATCACCCTTAAAATACAATACTTAAAATATAATTCTGACCTCTCCCCACCATGCTTTTAAATGACTCTGAGACTTTGGCATCTGAATGTTTAAAGAACAACTCCCAGAATTGCCATCCCACATGGCCTTTGCTGTCTGAAGAACTCTGTAGTTTATACCACAACAGGTTCAAAAAGGCTGCCTTCCCTGACAAATTATGAAGAGATTTCAGGGTAGTGAAAATGAGCTACTTGATAGGAATATGGAATCACAGCATAGGTGCAAAGTGCAGTAAGATTTCTGTTGTGACTCAGCAGCAGTCTTCTGTGAGTCTTTTCTGAATGCAAGATTAATGATGCAGCTGGGGCTCATTAGTGGGGTTTTGGGGATAAAAGGACGGATGGTGCCACGCCCTAGTTGCAGGAGTCAATGTTCCTTGGTTTGTTCAACATTGATTATCAGTCGTGGTTTATGTAAGATACACTTGGAGAAGCGCTTTGTTTTCTGTAACCCTGATTCAAGGATACTCTTGGA